TTTTGTTTTTCTTTGGTCCCTGTGGCTCCAAGAATAAGCGTGTATAATATTATACCTCTGTTGTAAAAGAGAAAAACAACCTATATTTTAGCAAAATTTATTTTGAAGTTTCAATCGAGTTTGTTATCATGAACAAAAACACAACTGAATAAATGTCTGACTCACGAATTGACTGAACTAACTCGTTTTTATAATGTTTAAAAGTGTCGAAGTCTGAAACGTTCAGGAGCAAGAAAAACATTTACATTATTTACATCATTGGTCTAATGACCTCTGGTATTAATTGAAACGCGTCGTCGCTAATGAATATGTTGAACATAAGGTGGTTGAAATCCCTAATTTAGTAGTGTGTTGTTTCTTATGAATTTCGAGCAAAGCTACACGAGGTATATCTGCGCTAACAGTCCCTAACTTAGTAGTGTAGGATTAGAGAGAAGGCAGCTAGTCATCACCATCCACTGCTAACACTTGGACTGCTAACACTTGGCGAATAGTGGGATTGCCCGTCACATTATAACGCCCTCATGGCGAGCATGTTTGGTGTGATGGGGATTCGAAGCCACGACCCGCTGATTGCGAGTCGAGCGCCCTAACCACCTGGCCATCCCGGGCATACAAGTAAATATCAAACCATGGCGTATGTTACGCTGCTATATCAGTAAAGTTTGGAAATAAGGTGTCGTTTTGTTGTGACTGTTATATAACTTGATGCCATATATGAAAAAAATGTACTAGTGAAACAAATCATAAAAAATAAAAAAAACAAGTTTGAAATACAGTAAATAAGAACACATCTTATTCCTTGAATAACAACACTTGATTCTGACCTATCTTACCTATGAATGAAACAGTCGCTGTCACACAAAACGTAGCAAACCATCCTAAAGAAGAGGTAATACGATGGAGAAGTAAAGGCCAGAGAAAGAAACAAGCTGTCTGGAATAAAAAGCAATGAATTATCAGTTAAAACTCGAACGGTTCATCTTATGTATTGTAGCAAGATAAAATAGAAGATAAAAATTCTGTATTGTTAATGTTTCGCTAAAGAAATGTTTTCTTATTATTAATGAAGATATTTAATTTAATATTATGGTTTTTTCTCACATGTTGGTAATCCTTGTTCTACACTTACTGATGTTAAAAACACCATTCCGAAAACTTCAGCAACAGAAGCCGGAATACAGACAAAAGCAAGAGGAAATGTAGTAAAGAGACCACAAATCCAGATCATGTACATCACTTCTCCTCCATAAGGTGTCGCCACCATAGTGGACAGCAATACTGTTTTTATTCCCAGCAACAGGAGACTCGTTAACTAAAGATTTATATACACACAGACATATATATATATTATAACTTAATGTGAATAAAGTTAAAAAAACGAATAAAAACTACAAGAAATCTCAAATAATAATCAGTAGATAATCAGTGAAAGATTTTATAATTTATATTCAAAACATATTATTTTGTTCTGATTTTGTGTTAAAGTTTATCATTATTTTTTTTAATTTCAATAAGAATAAACTACACTGAGTGCTTATCAAATCGATTCACTGGTGTTTTAGTTGAAATTGTTCGGATTCTTTTCTGTGCGTTACATTTAATTATTTAAACAATCTCTCAAAACATAGGGTTTTAAAAACAACAACAACCACAATAACAAAATTTTTCACAATTTCCATATCTCTGAGTATAATTACAAAGATATGTTTTCACTTTATGTGCAAATCAGCAGGGACCGAGACCCGAATTTTATCGTTATAGCCCACCTAGTTTACTGCTGAGCCATAAATACTGTATATGCTTTACACAACAAATATTATTTTAGTAATTATTAATATCTACACAAGTCACTTTGCTTTACACATTCTTACCTTGTAAGATATTTTGTCCTGAATTAAGCCCACAATCACACGGCTTATGGCATGAACAACTCCAGCTACAGAACCAGTGGTGGACAGAAACGTGTCGTCTTGTATAAACGTCTGTCCATATGTCTGGAACACAGCAAAAATTATTTTTGAAGTCTAACACAGTCCTCATTTTGGTACTTTGGTTTTAACTACAAGTCGTTCTTATTTAATATTAGATCTGATGACCAAAATCAAAGTTTATACATAATGATTTGGTTCCATCCCGTATCTCAAGATGGTTTATGATAAGAATAACGTTTTTAATGTAAATTGTAAA